TTAGTTTATTGTGATTCCGGCAAAGGATAGTCCATTAGCGTTTCGGAACTACACAGTTATTAATCCATTTGTTCTGTACTATGATTTCCTTCTCAAATATGTTTCCTCTTACCTACTGTTTATTCCATTATAGATTGTGCAAACTTTAGATTTTAGTTGACAATGAGCTTGCTTGCTAACCTGTGTTCTCATGATCACTAAATCTGGAATACCTTTTGTAAAAATTAGGTTGTGAAACGGGAAGTATCTGACACACCAACTTTATACAAAATGCTAATTAAAGTGGCTTAGGAAGTAGGCATTGTGGTAAAAGAATGCAAATGAAGTATAGTTGGTGCATAAGGAGTGTCTAATCTGCAATAATTGGAATAGCAGGCTAAGTCTGGGCTCACGTGGCTCAAAAGTCAAATAACCAACCACAATATTGTACAACTTTTTAATCCATATATCCGGATTATTGGAAACAGAACGGTATCCAAAGTGTTCGTTGTCAAGTCGGTATGTCAGTGACAGCATTTAAATCTCAAAGTTGAGATCCGTAGCAAGTAAATGACAGTAAACCAAAACTTTAGTATACCGAATTATAAAATTGTATACATAGTCTGTTACATCATTTGGGTGACTATTGCATTAAAATCTCTCTGAGCTGAAATGTTTTTTTCTTGTGGCTCAAATATTGATCAATGATGTCCAGTCAAAAAGAACGAAGGTGAAATATTATGGAGAAACGATAAATGTGTGGACGCCATAAAAAGCTCTGTATGCTGTTAATCTCCGTATTTGTTGTGCTGTATCCATAAAACATATTTATCAAACTCAGGCTGTGCTCTAACTCATTTTAGAACCTAAGCCTTCCCTCTCTCAGCGACGCATCATCATTTACATGTGCAATAAGACTGTTGAAACCTGATTATCGTTTAGATGCATTCCAGAATGGAAGTCACTTATCTAAATAAAAACCCTTTAGGCATTGGATACTGTTCTAGGACAAAAATAATGTTCTGTTCTAATAGATAGATACGTGCATGACTTGAAGCATATTTTATTCACTATTTTCAGGCGTCCTGTCCAAAATCCAAAACATGTGACATTTAGAAGCAGCAGTGTCACGTGATTTATCGAAATAGAGTTTGCAGCCATATGCATTAGAGCAAATAAAGAAAGTTGCAAATGGGTCTGAATTGATTGCCCAATGTTTGACCTCAATAATGTTTCACTTACTTAGTTGCTATGTGGAAGTTATTCGTAGTTCCCGTATGTTCATAGTCATGAATGACCGCCGCGAATAGCAGTGCAAATACGTCCAGGTCAGTCAACCAATTCTGCTAACATAAATTGGATGAGGAATGCGGGTGTGGAAGACAAAAAACTATGAAAAATGCGGAAATGTGGTGATGGGCGTTGAACACAGATGGGAAGGTGGTCCACAACTCGAATAATTTAATGATATGTCTATGAAAACGTCCATATCCTGTGAGTGGCTGAAACCTATGATGCATTACTTCAGTAATGCGACCAGTTATTGTGCTGTTACAATTTATATGCAGATAACAATGACTTTTCTCATGTATTAACATTTACTTTGGGTTCTTCGATTTTTTGGAATTCCCTAATAGGAAAATGTTCAGAAATGCAATCAGGCGAACACAAACCGTCGTTTGAAATGTTATTCGCTGGGAGGTGAACATACCTCAGTCTCCCAGTAGGCCGAGTTCCACTAATTTAAAATAAACTCCGATTCGCCAAAGATAGGAGAGTAGGGAAAGTGTAGTACCAGAAAACCAGACAATCCCTTTCATCGACTGACATTTTAACTTGAAGAAAATTTTCAAGTAAACACAGTAGTCACTATTTTAGTAACTTATTCGGAGTTGATTAAATTTGCATTTCTTCGAAATTAAGTTTGTAGGGATTATACACTATTTTATTGACAGTCACCAGCGTCGTTCACCCCCTTCTAAAACCAAAAATTCACTTTCGACCTTGGCCAGTGCCGGTGCCTGCTGAAACGATCGATACATTCGATATGACAAACACAATGACATCGTAAACAGAAACCGGAAACGATTGATCATAGGACAGTTCAATTGGTGCGTTGGACGAACGGATGGTTCGAACAGTTTCACAATCTTATGAAGTGCCGACTGTAAGCACACCAACCGAATCGATTGCGTCCGCTCCAAATTTGTTAGGTTCACCCACAATCAGATGGAGCGGAAATTCACTATCGAGCTCTAGTCTGCTCGAGGATTACATGGGTGTGGTCGCTCATCTTAATTACAATAGAATGGTTGGTTTGGAATTCAGTTAATGGTGGAAGTAATGCCTCGAATTCGCTTTTGTTAGATGAAAAGCGACTTCGCATTGATTACAAAACCGGAGATTAGATTCATTTATTATTCTAAGATGCATTTTCGAGGCTTTCAGGCTCCCGTTGGTTAGCAGACCAAAAAACTTTAAAGCAATTATCTTACTTTCTACACTTCATAGTAGCCTCATTATTAGAAAGGCAATGTAGAAAAAATCCGCCGTCAGTTTTCTATGCCAAAAACCAATTTCAATTCGACGCCGTGAATGCCATGTTGAAAAACACAGTACTCGACAGACATTTTACCATGGACCATGGCGGTCTAGGCAAGCATTCTTGATGCTACAACGATAAACACATGCATTTGTTGCAAACAAACAGTGAAGGTGAATCTGATTGGAAAGCATTTCTTTATGATGTTTACCCATGAGTTGGAGGAACCGTATGTTTAAGGGCTTCGATCTAATATTGGAACAATTGCTTCAAAACCGTATGCTTACCAGAGGCGAAGTATAAATTCTGTAACTTGGAGATACAATATCAGATCAAGTGTGAACTGTTTAACTTTAAACGGAGCATTTCTCAAACGTGTTTCGTAATGTCATCAAGGGCTGTATGCATTCCACCAAGAAGAATCTGTGGAAGCTAGTGATAAACGGTTTCTTATGCCCAAATAACCAATTTGCTCATCATCCTTTAGTATACACTGATGTCAGCTTTGCGGTGGTCATGCAATGTAAACACTCACTTTTGACCACATTATGGATTCCATAATAGCGTGACCTTCAGCCACGTGCTTAGTTCAGCAGTGACTTTTTCCCGCAAGGTAAATTGGATGAAAAAAATGTACCTTCGCTGTCAAGAATCTATTCTCTATCGTTCAAAAAGCTCTTGAATTCTTTCGTTTCTATTTTGTTAATGTGCTAATTCAAACCTCAGTACTCATCGACTATGGAGATCAGGTGTGAAGTGTTTCTTCTGCTTGATAGCCGATAAAAAGGGAATCCGATTTCGTTTATGTGAAGCACCGTTAGAGTGTTTCAAAAGCGAAGAATTCAAAAGCAGGTCAAATACCCAGATTGATAACTGTGTTCAATACCAACTCCAAATTTTCAAGTGTTAAGCTGATATGAGAACATTTCTTTTCCAGTGTTTAGTGTGCACCTAGCAATACACAATGGCACTATTCCTTTTGTGAACGCAATAATTTTCCTCGGAATTAGGTTCCTTATGAGCACCCGTCAATGATTTTGCTTTTGGTTCTCGTTTTATATATCATGATAGTGACTGCATAAAATCAAATCAGGAAACTTAAATTTACTTAATTGAATTTTCAGATTTCTGTACAGAACAGTCTTTAGCTTCCCATTTGATTACAGTTTGACTTACAGTTTTCCTCGTTTAGTTCACTATCAACCTGTTTAACAATCTAATTACAATATAACGACTCAGTCGGACTGTTGAGATACCAAAAATGGACTATTCCAATGAAATGATCTAAACAGTATTTTACGCTCCGCTGATCAATTTTGTTCTCGATTTCCAAATCCGGTTCCTCCTTCCGTAACAATCTCTCTGGTGCTATCCGACCCTTTTTGGAAGCATGTAGACCAGGAATAAACGCTCTTATCGGGCGGTGGTGGCCCCATGGTAACCTTACCAAATTATCACTCCTGAGGACGGGTTCAAATCCCATGACCACCGCCTTACTTTTCCCGTTGGATGTTATATGGCTGCAATTGAATTTGGCACTTCCTATTCCCCAAAATAGTATTACAAACATTGAAATAAAAGATGTAAACATGAGAAAAAACCAGTCATACTTAATGTGGTTCAGAAAAAAAAGTTGAAGGCTAGTATTCTTTCATACAAAAAACTCACCCTTAGTTCGTTCATAAATAACACCATATGACACGTTTGCATCACATCCGCCGCATGTACCAGGTTGTGATACGGGTTGCTGTATTTGCTATAACCGATTTCAAGCTGAATGAAGAAACTCTCCAGGCTTGTTGTATTGATCTATATTGCAAGGGGAAAGGGAAGAAAAGAAGACAATACGCAATTTAAAACCCCCGCCCAGGTTGACCGATCAAGATGTGATAGGTTTAATTACTTTGATGTAAACAAATAACTCATGATCATCAATCAGCTCTTTCACTATTACCATAATAGACAGTTTCAGAAAGTAATGAGAGTTTGACTAGGCACGAGATATAAACATTTTTATTGGAAAAACTAGAATCGGACACCGATAAGAAACATAACACCCATTTCTTAATTGTGCAGATGAGGAATTTTGTCGAACATGGTAGTTTGAGGATCGCTGAATAAATCTCATACTGGCTCATTTCGGTTAGACGTATCAGTACTGTTTCAGTTTTGATAAAATCAGTGAAGAATAGAATCAGGTTTGTTTTAGTCACAACGTGAGTACCAAACACAAGATTTCGGTGACAACGTTTCGACCTTTTTGGAAGGCCTTTGTCAAGTCAGTTTAATCGGTTTCTCGAAAACACAAGCTTTAAGGTGAAAATCGCGGCGTTCAAAGTTGACCCAAAAACGGGGTCAAGTGCGTAAGTTTCAGTGTATGTGTGGACGTGTGCGTGTGTGTGTATGTGTGTGTATGTTGGATTCGGATTATCATTAGCGCTCTGTGGGATCTGCACCTATTGCGTGATCTGTGTCGGTGTGTGAATCTGTGTGAAAACAATACACGAGAGGTCAAGTGATTTGTTGGGGCAATGGCGAGAGCGTCACACCAGGCCACTGACAAATCAGTCCCTTCCGTGCGGTTGAAACATTTAGCTTCAGTGTTAATTCACAAAGTTTCGGAGATCATCCTCTCTTTGTGGCTACGAAAATCTTGTCTTAAAATCTTGGGATTATCGAAGTCTATTGTGTGTCCTTCGCACAAAGCATGAACAGCAATCGCCGAATCTCGTTCCAGTTTTTGAAGATCCGT